GGGGGCGGGGGGAGGTCGCCGGGGCCTGCACCTGGAGCCCCCTGGGGGAGGCTGGCGGCCTCTCCCGAGCCGGGCCGCCCCCTCACTTCCCGGCCCCAGCGTTGACAGCGTGCGCGTGGCGTCTGGCGGCTCCGGGCGCTGACTCGTGTTTCCTCGGGCTTCTGAGCCCCGACGTGCGGTTTTTCCTGTAGGGACAAAAGATGACCCGCTCTTTGCGGGGCGCATTAACGTCCCGGCGCTGACAGCCCCGCAGAGGACGGCCTCCGGCGGCTTCTCCCCGAGGAGAGGCGCGTCTGGTGCTCCGAAGCCGCTCCGGAGGGTTGGAGGCCGGAGGGCTGCCCCTCGGCCGCCTCCCTGGCCCCCCACGGGCTGGTTTTCCTCCCTTTGTCGGGGGGAGGACTGTCGCTCTGCCCTCCGCCCCTTCCACCCCGAAGATACAGTGATTTGAAAAGAGGCATCCACGAACGCTTAGGAGATAACGAAGCGCATAGATAGCGGCTCGTAGGACTTGTAAGAATCCCCCAAGTAACAGTAGCGTTCCCTTTCTCAGTACGGGCGGATCCTTTACTTTGAGAAGAACGACATCTTAGGGAACAGCTACTCTGTGGCAGGCAGTGGCCTCAGCATGACCCCGTTGAATTCTCTCAGCCATCCGATGAGGTAGATCCAGTTTTTCGTTGTGCGACGAAGGATGCAGGGGCTCAGAGAGGCCATGCGTGCCCCGGGTGACACAGCCCCGAGGTGGTGCGGGGGTCAGGCCCGGGGCTGTTTGCTGCACGCTTTGCACCGGACCTGGCGCAGGAGATGTTGGGTAAACGTTTGCTGCTGCTGCTGCTGCTGCTGCTGCTGCTGCTGCTGCTGCTGCTGCTGCTGCAGCCGTGACATCTCGTCGGCTGGGGGCGGGGCCGATGGAGGCTGTTTTGGGTTCCCTTTTCTGGAAGACAGTTCTGGAGCAGGGCGGCATTTCTGGAATGTCTTCTTTGTCTCTGAAGCATCTTCTTCTGAGAATGTTTTTTTCTTCCTTGGGTTGGGACAAAGAGTAGACTCAGAACTTCTCAGAACAACCTTTTTGTTTTTCGTCAAAAGCCATTTTTTTTTTTTGTCGGAGTCTTGCTGGGCTCAGGCGATCCTTTCATCTCAGCCTTCCAAGTAGCTGGAACTACGGGCACGCGCCACCACGCCTGGCTACTTTTTTGGTTTGTGGTAGAGATGAGGTCTTGCCAAGTTACCTGGGCTGATCTCGAATCCCTGGGCTCAGGCAGTTCTCTCATCTCGGCCTTCCAAAGTGCTGGGATATAGGCATGAGCCTAAAAGCCATATGTTAAAAAGTCTTGGTCCTGTGCAGTAGCTCACACTTGTAATCCCAACACTTTGGGAAACTGAGGTGGGAGAATCACTTGAGCCCAGGAGTTCAAGACCAGCCTGAACAACATAGTGAGACAAAAGGAAAAAATTAGCCAGGCATGATGGCATGCGCCTGTAGTCCCACCTACTCGGGAGGCTGAGGAGATCAAGGCTGCGGTTGCCGAGATTGTGTCACTGCACTCCAGCCTGGGCGACAGAGTGAGACCTCCAACTCAAAAAAAAAAAAGTCTTGTCCTCTGAAGACTAGTTCAGCCAAACCCAGATGCACATGTACTCACTGGACACCACGTCCCTGTGGGCTGATGGAGAGACTCCTCTTGGGACTTGATGCATGAACCCAGCCGTTGATGTGAGAGCTCTCACATTCTCAGAGGTGGCTTTGAATTTGGCCACCCAGTGGCCCTTCCATTGGGGTACCACTAAGAGAAGGGTTAGAAGGCCAAGGGCATTTCTGGACCCTCCTCCTCACGTGAATTCCCAGTGGGGAACATCTGGTAACTGGGTGGATTTGGGATCCAGCAAAGTACTACAGTTCACAGAGTTAGTATCCAATAAGTGCTTGTTGGGCCAGTTTGTTTGTTTACTTATTTATTTTTGAGTCAGAGTCTCACTCTGTCACCCAGGCTGGGGTGCAGTGGCACATTTATGGCTGCTGCAGCCTCAACTTGCTAGACTCAGGTGATCCTTCTGCCTCAATCTTCCAAGTAGCTGGGACTACAGGCACACATTACCACCCCTGGTTAAGTTTTTGATTTATTGTGGAGACAAGGTCTCACCAAGTTGCCCAAGCTGATCTCAAACCCCTGGGCTCAGGCAATCCTCTCGCCTCTGCCTCCCAAAATGCTGGGATTACAGGCGTGAGCCCCTGCACCTGGCTCATGGCCAATTTATTTAACAGGTATTTACTGAGCATTTACTATATGAAACAGTCACTGTTCTAGGTGCTTGAAATACTGTGTCAATGAGCAAAAGAGGCAAAGATCTCTGGTCTAGTGGAATTTGTTCTTACAACTTAAGAAAGTGTATAAAGTATGTGAGATGGTGAAACCTGGCGAGGAAGCACCTGTGGGAAGGTGGATTCAGTTGTAGATCAAAATTAGTGTATCCTGGTTTGTGATTTGGTTTGTAAATATAACAGATGAAGCAGTGGACTGAATGATAGGCCCTGGGTTCAAGTCCCAGTTCTGTCAGTCTGCCGTGTGACTCTCGGTGGGAACCCTCCCTTCTCTGAGCCCCTTTCTCTGCTGTTTACTGGCTGTGGTATCTTTGGTGTGAAGCTGACCTCGGATACTTGGTGGTCTTAGGGGTCTCTAAGTCTGAATTCTTAAAAAATTTTACAAGAGCTTTTATTTACCTTTTAATAAAGTTTTGTAGAGATGAGGTCTCGCTATGTTGCCCATGCTGGTCTTGAACTCCTGGGCTCAAGCAATCCTCCTACCTTGGCCTCCCAAAGTGCTGGGATTACAGGCGTGAACCACCACGCCTGGCGGAAGAATATTTAGAGTGTATATCCTGAGCTGAAGTCCTGAGAGTGGGGTATATAGCAGTGATGGGCAAGAGTGCCAAGCTTTTCAACTGAGCCGGACAAAGCACACATACTCACGTTAGCATGAAAATAAGACACTTGGAGACTTGAAAGTTAATAACAGATATTTAAAGACAGAAACGTGACAATTTGCTTTGGCTCCAGTGAGCAGTAATAAATCAGTACATAGAAATTTTAGGAAAGCCAATTTCCATTTATTATAAAGACTTTGGTTTGAAACACCCAGAGCTGCCATCTGGGAAAGGGTGGCTTTGATCATCAATGACTGCTCTAACTGGACTTGGGTGACCAGCCGACAGGGCTTTCACAGGGCAGAGTCCCACCATAGAAGGAAGAGAGTTGACCCAAACCCCTTTAGACCCTAAGGCTGCGTGGTGGAAGCAGCTGGCAGAACGTAACCCCTGAAAGGGAGGGTCTGACTTCAGGCCCCAGAAATCATGATTTTCCTGGGGTTTTGTATTTGTTTTTTGTAGAGACGGAGGCTTGCTCTGCTCAAACTCCCAGCCTCAAGTGATCCTCCTGCCTCGGTCTTCCAAATGCTGGAATTATAGGCATGAGCCACGGCGCCCATCTTTCCTAGTTCTTAGTTTCCATGTCTCTCATATGAGTTTAGATTATTCCTAAAGTGTCTAGGCCTGAACTTCTGAGACTGAGTTTCTGCTCATACACTCACCTGCAGAGTGTGAGGCTTTTTGTGGCCTGGGCCTGTCACTGCCTGCAGCCTGCCCACCCCTGGAGACTGCCAGCCTGGGGTAGCCCAAGCCCATGCCCTCTCCAGTTAAGCGAGCTCAGAGCAGAGGGCAGGAGCAGGCTCTGGTCTGCGCAGAGATACTATTCCAGGCTTCAGGAAGTTCAGAGCAGAATGACCCAAAAGGCTCTTGTGAGGAGGCTTCCCTTGGGGGTGGGTGTTTGGATTTGGAGAGGGGACCTTCCCAGTGCCAGGCTGGCAGGGCTGTTTGGGACTTTGTGAAACTGACAGTTCAAAGCACCAGCCTCAGGGCAGGTAGTCCTGGGTTCGGATTCTAACTCTGCAGCTTAGTAGCTGGGTGACTTCAACCAGTTACTCCACTTCTCAGCCGCGGTTTCTCCATGGTTAGCGATGGAGGTGGACTTAGCTTGGATGTTGCCACTCCCAGGAGGGTTGTGAGGATCCAGTGAGGTCATATCTGAGAGCTCAAGCCTGAGCTGTTAGTGTCAGCTCCAGCACTCGGGGCCATCGGGGCAGGGGGCAGGGTGAGTAAGGCTGGGATGGGGGGGAGATGTAGAGAAGTGGGCAGCAGGACTTGTCAAGGATGGGGAGGCCTGCGGGTTCTCCCTGGGAGTCAGGGCCGCAGGCCCTTCCGGAATTAAGCCCAGGTGAAGGGAGGGAGTGGCTGTGTTGGGACTTAGAGCAGAGTCGTCTGGAGGTGGAACAGAGAAGAGAGCGGGAGGGAGAGAAGGGTACACATTCTGAGGGGCAGAGGGGAATGGGGATGGGTGTGTGGGGTGTGGCAGGGTTCATGGTGGAGGCCAGGGTTCGTGGTGGGGGCCTCGCAAGGAGGTGAGAGGCCCAGCACATCACCCTCCCCATCCTGAGGAACTGGTTCCTCGCCAGGAGGTGGAGGGTGCAGCCAGAACCTCCGGAAGAGTGCTGAGTAATTGGCACCCGAGGCAGCCAGCCTGGACGCACTGCCTGCCTGGGCCCCGTGGGGAAGCTGCCCCTCCTACAGCCATTGCTCAGGGTGAGACATTTTGAAATGGGCCAGGAATGGTGGGCGCTTTGCCAGAGG